TTTAACTTAAACTTTACTGATCTAAGTGGCCTGTTTGATGGCCTTTTGGACATGCATTGTACAACTGCTTTGGCGTTGAGGAGGGGGACACATTTGAAAGTCAGACTGGAGTAGCTATGATTCAGACATCCACGGAAAGACTGGGTGGCCACTGGGGGCGTGATTTCGGACACATTCTTGTATTGTTGAGAACTGGATTTTCTGAGCTGTGTCCTACTGGGGAGAAGCACCTCACACTTCTAACTCTCTCCTTATTGGGAACAGCAGACTTTTTGTATTAATAGCCCAGCTTTGCCATCTCTCCTTCCACAAACCCTTGGCCCCCTCCTCTGCCCACCGCCTTCTGGTCTGGCTGCCACCACCCCTTTGATGTGGGTCTGACTGAGGTCTCTGACGGCTTCTCCATCGCTGTGTCCCATCCCATGAGGAGCCCTTCTGGCATGGCCTCTGCAGAGCCTGCCAGGGACTTCCTTCTCTCTGGCTTCTGTTGCTCTGGGCTGTACTTGCCTTCTCCCACTCTCTTTCCTTGCTCCTGTTGCTGGATCCTCTCCTCCATTTGCTCCTGCGGTTTTGTCCTGGACTTTCTTTTCTCCTCCTGCTGACAGTGCCAGCCTTGCTCATGGCTTCATCCAGCATTCATGAAGTCTCTGTCTTAGTATCTCCTCCTCATTCTCTTGCCCTTTGAAACTCTAGGGCCCTGTTGTTAAGCATTGTTTAGATCAGTCTATTTGAAGTCCCACCGCTGTTTGAACCTAATCCCAGACAATTCATTATGGATGCATCCTCCTCAAACACGACTGTAGCTCTTTATTACTTTTTTTTTAACTCTCTGCCAATAGTTTCATCATCTCCCCAACCTCCCAAGTCAGAAAGCTGAGTCACTGTCAGCTCTCTCAACCCCACATTTAACGCAAGTCTGGAACTTTCTAGAAAATGCCTCCTGACTGCACTATTCCTTAGTTCAGGTTTACAGATAGTCTCAGAATGGCTCCATCTCCAGTTCTCCTTGGCTGGTCTGTCTTTGATGCGTCACCAAAGTTGCCAATACAGCCCATTGAACTGACGTGCAACCTGCAAGCTCAAGTCTGAACACCTGGACTTGCAGACACTACTTCACCCCAACCTCACTTCTCAGATCCCCACCCCGCTGCTCACTGCCCCCCACCCCCACCAGTGCTCGCCACCCTAAACTGCTGCTCATTTCAGAAACATGCAGGCCTCTTGGTTTGCAGAAGCCGCTTCCTCTCACTAATGACTTCTTTTCTGACCTAAACTCCCCACTGCTCTGCCCGACATGCATACGCTTTTAGACCAGTCCTGTTGTCTGTTTGGAGATCTTGTTGGTTCTCTGACACAGCTACTTTCTCTCTCACTGTCTGTCTCAGACTCTGTCTCTCTCCGTCTCTTGTTCTCTGTCTCACTCTGCCTCTTTAAATTTACTTTGTGCCAGGCACTGTGTCAAATGTTTTTCTGACTGTGGCACAGATTGCTGGCTGCCTACCCAGTATCCATCCTCTCCCTTTTCCTGGATAATAGAATTTCTCAAATGCTCAGGTTAACACATACATACAACACAAACACAGGCATTTCCCTGTTTCTCTTACAGGGGGAGCATATATTGAATTTTACATGGAAGTTGTTGGATAAGGCTTCCAAGAAAGTTATTTTAAGGGACCTGACTCAGCTGCCAGGTGTTACTTTTGCCCCTTCCCCCTTCCTTCTCCTTGTTTGGACATGAGTCCGTCTGGAGTTCTGGGAGCCATTTTGGGACCATGAGGAAGTTCTGAGGCTGACGCTTGGATTAAGGTTGCTGGAGCAGAAAATGAGAAGGCTTCTAGGTCCTTGATGAAAACATGGAGCCACAATTTCAACTATAAGCCATCTAACTCCACTACGTTCCTGTTCCGTGAGAAAAGATAATTAATTTATTTAAGTCACTGCTAGTTGGGTCTCTTCTACTAGCTACTGAAAAAACTGCTTTAGCAGTGTGTCTATTATCATGCAAAAATCCTATAGAGTTTTTATATTATTAATCCCATTTTACAAAATGGAGCCTTAGGCAACTATGTGACTTGCCCAAATTACTCATTCATTGGATAGTCTTGGATTGACCCAGTGTTGAATCATTGACCCAGTATCTGACAGCTCAGCATCTGAATGTAGTGTTTGTCTGGTAATGGAGACTGAATTCCTAATCATTGTATTTTTTTGCCTCTGAGCTGAGCATGCTGCCCGAACTTTAGACCAGCACAACTGTGGGCCTCCTTGGGCAGGCGTGATTGCTGGCAATCTTCCCATCTGAATAGATCCCTGGGATCTTCTCTCTCACATCCCGTCCAGCAAAAGAACACTTTTCAGCTTTGAGTACATTGGTCCAATGGCCAACCAATTCTGTGTCTCGAGACTCTTCCTTCTTCTTGCTCTGAATGTAGATTCCTAACTTCTTAGAGTATTCCTAGGGGGATCTGTTGTTGAGATGAAATCAGCTTCCAGCAAGGTATGGGTAACAGAGTAGGTGCTTAACAAATGATACGCGGATTTATGAATGAATGAATGCTGCTCTCAGGGCAGTCTTGCCTGGGACACCAGTTTCCAGATTCTTTCTTGAGAATCATTTTTGTGTCCTGCCTTGTTGTGAAAAGTCAAACTTCCTTTGCGAAGGAGGAGTGCAGTTTCCTGTTACACCAGCTGACTTCTGTGTACCCTTGAAGGACCCGTTTTCTGAAAGGTTTTGGTGAGAAGCTCTTACTACAGACTGTGGAAAGTGTCTTTGCTAATTGATGCAACCCAGTGTAGGTATTGGGCACAGGTTTTGTAATTACAGAGAGCTGCCTTCCAATCATGGAGCTGAAATGCTTCCCCTCTGTGTTTCTAGGCCAGTAACTTAAGCTGAGCCTCTGTCTGTCCATCACTAAAAAGGGATAATAATAATTCCCATTCTAATGAGGATGATGGGAGGGAATGTATGAAAAGTGTTTAGGAGACTGCATAGTTCATAGTACATGTGTACAAATAAAAGCAACTCTCAGTAGTGAAAATGGTCACTACTGGTTTCTTAAGCCTTCAAGCAGAATTAGCCACCCCCTCTGCCATGTCTGCTCAATGCCCCATATCTTTCGTAGAACATAAAATAGATAAAATAAGTTAGCTGGTTCTCAGCCTGTCTCTCTCGACTACAGAAGCACTCTGAGGGCAGGATTTTTCTTTAAATCCCTAGTAACTGGCACAGAGGAAGTACTCAGTAATTGAAGAAAGCAAGCAAGAAGGGCTCTAACCTGTGCCTTTGTTAGAGGAATAACTATGAGAGCAGAGCTAAGCCAGGAAGAGGTGAGCACATGGCACAGTCTCTGGTTTTCAGTCTAAGAGATTGTGAATGGCAGGCATACTCCCTGGTTGGGGTGTGGGGGGGTGAGTGGGGACAGGTCTGTGAGTTGACATTTCTGCCATCCATCATGGCCCCATTCGGTCCTGGTTTGCCCCACAGAGAGATACACAGTTTAGCAGCGGCTGACCCCTGGTCGCTGTTCTGACCTGGAGAAGAGAGGGTCCACTTACTAGAAAGCTAAAAAAATTAAATGAAAAACTTGCCAGACTGTATATTCTTTTCAATATTTTTAATAGAGTCACCCAAGGTTAACTCCTGAAGTTTGTATTTATGCTTCCATCAGTAGATCTCAGTCCTTTGTCTGGTGAAACTGCACACAAAAGAGTAAATGGAGGGAGAGGGTCTCAGAAACTTCATAACATTTGTCTGTAGGGTCTTCACTTTAATATTTTTAGTATTAGTTGTAGGTGTTAGGAATCATCAATTCTTATTCAAGAGAAACAGTCTGCACTGTCTTCTCTGATACAGACTTTAATTATGCTCGCCAGAGGAAATAATTCATATTAGAAGGCTCTGTGCAGAAGTAAACCTGATTTTTTTTAGCCCCTTGAAGGGCCTGGATTACAAATGCAGCTCCATAATGTAGTTGTCATAAATGTGCTTTGAAATGGCGTTAACCGATTGCTCTTATCCTATCATCAGCCTAAGTCAAATGCTCCTAAGGGAATTTAACTTTAAACATAAAACTTCTTGGAGGGATGACAAAAAAGCAGCCCTCACTGATTAAATTTAAATTTACAATAGGAACATGGCTGAAACCCAGCTTCCAGAAGCTTGCTGGAAAAATTACAGTGTTGGGGAAATTTTAATCTAAAGACCATCGAATAGTGCGCCCTTCTAATTCACCACCTCTTTCTGCTCTCCACCACTGGACCACGAGGTGCCTACCGCCTTCCCGGCTCCATAGTTGGAATTTTGCATAGGCAAAAGGGTGAAATCGGATAGGGGACCAGGCATTCGCTTGTGGAACTCTTAAATGTCAAGGCAGTACTGAATGAATGGGGAGCGGATCCTGTTTCCCGCGGCTGCCCTAAAATAGTTTCCCTGTGCCGGTGGCCTGCTGGAGGCATCATATTTAGCTTAGGGCTTCTCTGGCCAGATCGGACCCTGCGAGGTGGTTACTCCAAAAAGGTTGGACGCTGGAAAGGTCACAGGTCAAGGCTCACTCGCCTGCCTCGTCCAGTCTCTACCCCGGGGGACTGCCGGGGTGGGGAGGATGCTCCCCGCCCGTTCCTTCCCTGGCAGATGCCCCGCGCTCCCGCACACCGTCCCCCAGCCCTTCCCAGCTTGGGCAGAGGGACCCTGGCCCCGGGTCAAGCGGGCGGCAGGCCGCCAGCAGCTCGCCAAGTATTAATAGAGAGGCGCCGGCCGCGGGAGGCTGGCGCCGGGGCCTCCGGAGCGAGGAGGCAGCGCGAGCGCTGAGACTGCCAGGC